ATTCCTTGTTGAGTTGATATATATCTGAGTATGGCTTTGCATTGCATAATTGAGCATGAACTTGAATTCTCATTGTGATCACTTCTCTCAAAAAGGAAATGTGAACTCCCATGCATTCAACCTCTCTCTCTCATTTGTTCTTGTTTGCTTGAGGACAAGCAAAAGATAAGTGTGGGGGAGTTGATATGTTCATAATTTGCATCACTTAGGTTACACATTTCATTACAAATCATGTTTTATTTCATGCATTTTAGGTCCTTAGGGTTTGTTTTAGAACTTAGGAGATGCATTAGGTTCCAATGAGTCTTTGCATGTTTTGAGTGTTTATCAGGTGTATTTGGAGCTGAAAAGATGAATCCAGGAGGTGGAATGGTGATCAAGGCTTGAAAAATGGTGAACTTGTGTTTTTGGAGGTTATCGGCCATTCTCACGTACCAGGAAGGTTTTTACCGGCCATTTTCATGTACCGCAGATAGACCTTATCGTCCAAAATGCGTACCGCGAGTGGATTGTATCGGCCAAAATCTCTAAGTGCAGACACGTTTCTGAAATCGCCTGTCCGGGAAACCTTCCGGTCCGATTCAGTTGGCGGGTGCTTCATCAAAGTTGGAGAAGATTGGATCACGGTTCCATAGCAAGTGGAATCATGGAATTCGGACGCGTGAGCAGAGAGTTAAGCTCGTCGGAAGAAACCCCTGTCTCGCTGCTGTTTTGGACCAAGCCGATGAGCTCTGAAGAATGCGAAGGACGGTGCACTTCCAGGCCGATTCAGTTTCCGGGGCTTTCATGAGAATCAGAGACATTTGAGTCATCTTTCCCGAACATCAGAGATCATTCAATTCGGAGCTATGAGCAGGAAGATACGGTCTCCGGAATGGACACATGTATAGACGTCTCTCTCTGATCGTGTAAATGCACTGCAAAGATGAGCCCTCCAGGAAGCCTTCTACTTCCCAATCCCCGAAGCTTCCTTCACCAAAGTTGGAGATATATGAGTCCTCTGTCCTCTGCAACCGGAATCACTCAATTCGGACAAGTATATTGTGAGTTACACTCTCCGGAATGCGAAGTGGTCCAAACAGCCCTGAATGACTAAGTTAAACATGCCGCGATGGAATGTCACGGTCCACACTTGGCCGTGGATACTTTTGCACAACTTCGGCGAATGATACGATCTGAATGCCACAGTCTACACTTGACCGTGGCAAACAAACACTTGGCTGGGAGGAACTTTGCAAGCATTCGGCGACTGACACGGTCTGAATGCCACGGTCTAGGACTTGACCGTGGCAACTTTTGACAATCTTCGGCGATTGGCACGATCTTCATGCCACGGTCTACAGTTGACCGTGGCAAACAGACAATTGGCTGGGAAGGACTTTACAAGCATTCGGATTTTGACACGGTCTGAATGCCACGGTCTGGGACTTGACCGTGGCAAACAAATACTTGGCTGGGAATGACTTTACAAGCATGCGGGTTTTGACACGGTCTGAATGCTACGGTCTGGGACTTGACCGTGGCAACTTTTACACATCTTCGGCGTTTGACACGATGACTTGCCACGGGTTTTGGACGAGGCTTGTTAGACCGTGTCATCAAAATGCATCCAAGAACACGCGAGAAAGCTTTGACACGGTCAGGTTGCCACGACCACACCAAGAACACACTTGACCGTGGCAAACCCATCTTCACCCACCAAGACCGAGTCAGTACCCGGTTTGTTCCGGGTTGACCCGGTTCGCCCAAGGACCCTATATATTGTTTTTAGACCTAATTTGGAGAACACCTTTTATCCACTTTTAGTTTCTTTTCCTCTTTGGTGAAAAACCACTTGATACACCTTGTTTTTAGAGTTTAATATCGATTTTAAGTTTCTTTTCATCTTGTTCCATCATTTCTTATCATCAAATCACACTTCTAATCATGATTAACAACACATCTTGCAAAGGATTTAGTGTGTTGATCATGATTAGTGAGTAATCCCATATTAAGGTCTTAGATATGTAGATTAGAGTGCTTAAGTGGTAGATTAGTGAGCTTAGGGGTTAGATCATGCATATTCCATTCTCTACAACTTGTTCTCTATGCTAGATCCATACAAATCATATGTGGTCTAGATTCTGGGCATTTCATGCTCCAAAAATGTTTGATGAAATGCCTGAACCAAGGTTGTAAAGGTTTAAGTGTTATTCATCATGGGAATGATTGTTTATATGCTTAAATGACAGATTAAACTGATTTTTAATGCTTGCTAACTCATGTTTCACTGATGATGATTGGGTTAGAAACTGTTTTAGCATAGGAGTTAATACCTTCATGAGAGGATTAACTTAATTAAAGATGTTTATGTTGAATGGTTTGCTTGATCATATGTATCATTATCTCATTAGTTTATCACTGAAGGCACCCTAATCCACTATCATGTCTAAGACTTTTCTCATCATCATTCATACATTCTCATCATTTGTCATTGTTTAGTTCTTGTTTAATCATTTCATTAGTCTTTAATCCTGTTTAAGTTTGTAGTTGTCTCTAGATAATCAAAACCCACTCTTGTTTGCTTGAATTAAGAACCTGATCACATAGTTTAGTGTCTAACACCACATCTGGATTGATAAACCTCTTTGTGCTACTTTGACAAGGGGATTGAGAGCTCTGAAACCCTAAAAAGTCTTGTCTATCACATTGGCGGTAGAATTGACAGTTGGAAGAAGGGATACGAGCATCGATAATATACTGAATGATAAGATCATAATCAGAATGCAACTGCTTGATGCTTTACTGCCCTGGTAGTGTTTATGATTCTGAATTTTTTTATTATAAGTTATTTGCTTTGAATCCTTACGTGAAAAAATGTTAAAAACATAAATAAAAGATCTCATGAATTTAGGGAGAAATATTAGTAGGCGAAGGAGTTATCCAACATTGTCGTTTGGTTAGTTTTAATCCAGTCAACGTAGTTCTTGCTGCCAATAATAACATTCCATTTGGTCTTATCCATTACTACTTTCATACATACCACCTTTTACCCATATAATGGTGTTTTCCTTACTTGTATTTTTGTTGCCGTCACACTTGAACTCAACCAACATAGGAATGATTTGGAACCAAGTAACTGTCTCGTTAATCGTGATCTCTAAGTCACAGAAGGTGAAAATTACTTTCGCAAAGATTGCAAGACTATTGCCAATGAACTACGTGGAGTTGTTCACGGTATATTTCAAATGCTGTGAAAGTGGAATTTGCATACTTTGTTTTGTTGTTTGGACTGAGTTCATCAAACGCATCTAAATGTGTCATGGTAGGTTAAAACAGCGCTAACCACGCTTTCTAAAACTAATAATTATAACTATTTATAAATCACAAAAATAAAAGTAATAATTAGTTAAATATCTAATTAAATAATAAAAAATGAAAATAAAATCTCATACTAAATTTAAAATGATTCAAACATAAATTAAAATTATCTTGAAAAAAATATGGGGTTTTTGTTAAAAATAACCCAAAATTTGACTTTGAATACAAAAGTAGACCCCTGAAAAAACATTTGGCAGAAATAACCTAAAGGGGGTAGTGAAAAGACCATTTAATCATGTATGAATAAAAAAAAACGGATGTCCTAATTACCGTTTACTCCCTGACGAAGTCTACTAAAGTGAAAATGAAGTCTATTAGTAGACTTCATTTTATCGAAATGAAGTCTACTAAGTAATTAAATCTGTAAATTTAATTTTAAAATTTTAAAAAAATTATTTTGGTATCAAATTTACCATCATAAATTCTGTAATCGTAACCCAAATGTACAGAAATTATTTTTTCATATTGGTAAATGGAAATGTATGTTTTTAAATTAAGTAGAAGTAAATTTATTATTTAGATTTTAAAAGTTGTAGACTTCTATATTGAAGTCTACTAAACCGAATAAATTAACCTAACGGAAATTTAAACCGGGAATAACTTCCCTTAACCAAGAGAAACTGCCTTTAACCGGGTAAATTTACCTGGACCCCGGAAAATTAGTAACCTTAACCAAAAAAACTTACCCGAACCGTACGGAATTACCAGACTATATATACGAATTTAACAGATCCAGTTAAAAAAAAACCGTCGAAAATTCGTGTAAAAAAAAAAAGTCGAAGGCGATTTCTGTTTCTCTGCTCCGGCGCCGCCGACATACAGAACCGCCGCCGATAAACTCGTTCAGGCAAGTTTTCTTTCTCCAACCACACCCCCATGCTTCCCTACTCCTCCGTATTCATCACCTTTCCGTTTTCGTAACCCCTAGTTTCCAGATCTGAAATTAGGGTTTTTTTTTTTTGCAGATCTGCTTTCGCCGTTGGAGGTTAACGTCATTTCCTGCCTCAAAAACGGTTAGTAGGTTGTTCCGAAGTTATATACTTAGCAATTCTTAAATTTCTTCTATCTTCCTGTAATTTTTTCCGTCGGGTTTGACTTAGGTTTTTTTCCCAGATCTGGTTGTATTTTCTCGACGCCAACTTCATCTAATAAAGGCGGTTAACACTATAAACTTTGTAGATTCCATTTCGATGATTTGTTTTAGTAGACTTCATATACAGTATTTATCATGTATTGATTGCTTCGGTTGGGTTCTGTAGACTTCATATGCAGTATTTATGATGTTTTGATTGCTTCATATACTGTTTTTTTTTATGTTAAGATTGCTTCGGTTGGCTTCAGTAGACTTCTCGACTCGGATTGTACTTAGAATGTGAAAGTAGACTTCATTTTGTGAAAGTAGACTCCATTTTGTGAAAGTAGACTTCATTTTGTGAAAGTAGACTTCTTTTTGTGAAAGTAGACTTCATTTTGGGAAAGCAGACTTCATTTTGGGAAAGTAGACTTCATTTTGATAAAGTAGACTTCATTTTGATAAAGTAGACTTCATTTTGAAAATGTAGACTTCATTCGTGTATAGTTTCAAACCGTTTTTCTCATTAGAGCTTTGTTACCGTTGATGCAGGAATCTTTGTTAGATAATGGTGGCCTCTGAATTCCCTAGAAGAATTTACACCAAAGGGTTTGAGCCAGCCCCGGATAAAAGCATCGGCTATTATGCTGATGATTATAGGTTGGTCCCTGCACTAAAGTCAGCTCTACAAGAGGATGAATGGGAAGAGATTTACGAGTCACCGTTGGGTGTCTTTTTAAAGTTCCACGACTTGGATTTTGGTTGGGCTTCTAGGCTGGTGCACCCCATGCTGACCTTTCAGATAGTTTGCAAGCAGAGGTACAAGATATGGAGCCTGATTGGTACCACTCCAGTTCGGTTTTCATTGCATGAGTTTGAGGAGATCACCGGACTCAACTGCGGGTACGTGGATGACTTGGCTTTAACTGATCTTGCGCTTGTCGATGACATGCGTGCATTTTGGGAGCTAATGGGGGTCGATGCCGAGTCGGGCCCAAGCACTACCGAAATTATCGAAGCCTGTTCCAACTGCTCATCATGGTCTCGGGATGATAGGCTGCGGTTGGGTTATCTTGGGATCTATGCTGGTTTCATAGTGGCAACGAGACCTGGCTCATCCACAAATGTCAACCATGCCAGACTAGTGATGGATCTCGAAAGTTTTAAGGAGTTTCCATGGGGAAGAATTGCTTTTCAGCATTTGATCAAGTCTGTTAAGGAGAAAGATCTCAGCAAAAACATTCATATAGAAGGATTTGTGCAAGCTCTTCAAGTGTGGGTGTACTATGCTCTACCGGATTTTGCTGCTGAATTTGGCGAACCATTGCCAAATGTTACTGAAGAACCTCTTTTGCTGGCTTACAAAGGATCAAGAGGACGAAAGAACGTCAAAACCAACATGCTAAAACAGGTACTGTATTAGTGTAGTAGACTTCTATGTAGTAATGAATTTTCAAAGTAGACTTCAGAAGTAGACTTCATGTGTAGACTTCTATATGTACCATTAATAGTGTTTGACATTCAGGAGTAAACTTCTGAGTTAGACTTCAAGAGTAGACTTCTATGTTAGACTTCAGGAGTAGACTTCATACGTAGTTTTCCGAGGCTTCATATGGCTAGTAATCCATTTACTTATTGTGTTTTTCCAGGCTCGCATACAGTCCTGCGTGGCTAAGGACTTGGCGGATATGTTTCCCATGTGGGATGATGACGAACAGGATCCAGATATTGTCAAGATTGTCAATGCACTCCATGACCCCAATTTCAAATTCTCAAAAAACCATTGGCCTTTGGAAGGTGTTTTGGGTGCACACACCGGAAAGAGGAGCCTTCCCTCAGATGAATCAAGTCGCAAGAGACCCTGCACAGCCTTTGCCTCTGCCGCATCATTCGTTGGTGATGAAGGGGTCGGAGTTGTCGCTACTATGAAAGCGCACTTCGACCAATGCTTCCAAAGCTTTTCAACCAAGATGCTGAATGGTCTTGGTAGCTGTGAAAAGCAGATCAAACGTCTCACCGAGAAGGTTGAATCTGTAGAGCGTGCGGTAGAAGAGTTGACTACAGGGTCTACGACTGAAATCTTTGACTGAAGTCTACTAAGTTGTAATCGTAATTGTACTGAAGTCTACTAAGTCTATTAACATGTTAGTATTTCTAATTTTCGATTTCACCCTTACAACTGATTAAGTTCTGTAAGATATCATTGAGCATGCGGAAAAGAGTATACGGAAAAGTGTATACGGAAAAAGTGTACACCGATAGTGTACACGGAAAAAGATTTATTAAAATAAGAATTGTTAGTCTACAAACGAAGTCTACAAACGAAGTGTACAAACGAAGTCTACCATAGTCATGTAAACATATAAGTAAACCCAAAAAACATAAAACATGGAGTCAACTAATTTCACCGCGGCCATTCATTTGCAAATCCAGGAGTTGTTTTCCAGAATAAGGCACATTCCAACTTCCAGAAGCAAGGACTGCAGAGTTTGTCACCATATGAGTCCACGAGGCGTTCATCATCCATCCAGTGCTGGTTTGGCAGATTCATACAAGCACAACTCCTTGATTGTGCCTTATCAAAAACATGGAAGACCAGTTCGTGAAACGTGTCAGGCTTCTTATAAGTGGTCGGACACCTGTTTATGTGCTGCATAGTCTTCCTCATCTTCGTTGCCTCTGCCGGAACTATACCACGAATGTGGTTAAATAGATCATGGCTACCATCCATGGTTAAAGAGAACATAACCATGGAGTAAGTAGCCATGAGGCATCCTCCATTTGATGACACCTTTATTAAGTCAAATCCTTCTTGGATGCTATCTTCATAGAAGATTAGAAAAACGGCTCGTAGGTATTGCGTTGTAGGATTTCTACACTCCAAACAGCGCCGAAAGAAAGCGTCAACCCTCCCATGTTGAGCCCAGACCCATGGAATCGTCAAAGTTATTAGATCAACGGCTCTTAAAAGACCCTCTTCATTAGAAATCTAATTTAGATGTTTGGAGGAAACCCTTGCTCTACAGAGCCCACCATAGGAACGAGAAGTGATTTTTAAGAGGATATCCCACAGAATGTCAGAAGGGAGAGAGTTGAAGTTTATCTGGATCGACATCTTCAAAGGGTCTGAAATGAAACTATAATTCGTCTAAACCCGAGAATTTATAAGCAAAAATACAGTACACAAACAGGTACAACGGTTATACGTACCGTTAAAGTCGTTAAAGCAGTTACATATATGAAGTCGTTTCAAACATAACCGTCAACAAAATATCACATACACAGTAGACTTCGACAGTAGACTTCCCCAATAGACTTCTATAGTTGACTTCCATAGCAGACTTCTTTGAGAACAATAGATGCTTTGTCTTCTGATAGACAAGACTTTTTAGGGTCTCAGGGCTATCAATCCCCTTGTCAAAGTAGCACAATGAGGTTTATCAATCAAGATGTGGTGTTAGACACTAAACTATGTGATCAAGTTCTTAATTCAAGAAAACAAGAGTGGTTTTGATTATCTAAAGACAACTACAAACTTAAACAGAAATAAAGACTAATGAAATGATTAAACAAGAACTAAACAATTACAAATGATGAGAATGTATGAATGATGATGAGAAAGGTCTTAGACATGATAGTGGATTAGGGTGCCTTCAGTGATAAACTAATGAGCTAATGAATCATATGATCAAGCAAGCCATTCAACATAAACATCTTTAATTAAGTTAATCCTCTCATAAAGGCATTAACTTCTATGCTAAAACAGTTTCTAACCCAATCATCATCAGTGAAACATGAGTTAACAAGCATTAAGAATCAGTTTAATCTGTCATTTAAGCATATAAACAATCATTCCCTGATGAATAACACTTAAACCTCTACAACCTTGGTTCAGGCATTTCATCAAACACTTTTGGTGCATGAAATGCCCAGAATCTAGACCACATATGATTTGTATGGATCTAGCATAGAGAACAAGTTGTAGAGAATGGAATATGCATGATCTAACCCCTAAGCTCACTAATCTACCACTTAAGCACCCTAATCTACATATCTAAGACTTTAATATGGGATTACTCACTAATCATGATCAACACACTAAATCCTTTGCAAGATGTGTTGTTAATCATGATTAGAAGTGTGATTTGATGATAAGAAATGATGGAACAAGATAAAAAGAAACTAATTCAAATCGATATTAAGCTCTAAAAACAAAGTGTATCAAGTGGTTTTTCACCAAAGAGGAAAAGAAACTAAAAGTAGATAAAAGGTGTTCTCTAAATTAGGTCTAAAAACAATATATAGGAGTCTTGGGCGAACCTGGTCAACCCGAAACAAACCGGGTACTGACCCGGTCTTGATGGGTGAAGATGGGTTTGCCACGGTCTGATGTGTTCTTGGTGTGACCGTGGCAACCTAAACGTGTCAAAGCTTTCTCTTGTGTTCTTGGTCGCCTTTTGATGCCACGGTCTGATCAAACCTCGTCCGAATCCGTGGCAAGTCACCGTGTCAAACGCCGAAGATGTGTAAAAGTTGCCACGGTCAAGCCCCAGACCGTGGCATTCAGACCGTGTCAAAAACCGCATGCATGTAAAATCCTTCCCAGCCAAGTATTTGATTGACACGGTCAAGCTCCAGACCGTGGCATTCAAACCGTGTCAAAACCTGAATGCATGCAAAAGTTGCCCCCAGCCATCTTCTGTTTGCCACGGTCAAATGTAGACTGTGTCATGAAGCTCGTGCCAATCGCCAAAGGTTTGCAGAAGTTGCCACGGTCAAGTCCTAGACCGTGGCATTCATGCCGTGTCAATCGCCGAGGGTTTGCAAACTTCCTCCCAGCCAAGTGTTTGTTTGCCACGGTCAAGTGTAGACCGTGGCATGAAGATCGTGTCATTTGCCGAGGGTGTGCAAAAGTTGCCACGGTCAAGTCCTAGACCGTGGCATTCATCGCGGCATGTTTAACTTAGTCATTCAGGGTTATCTGGACCACTTCGCATTCCGGAGAGTGTAGCTTCCACGAAACGTGTCCGAATTGAGCGATTCCGGTTGAAGAGGACAGCGGACTCATATATCTCCAACTTTGGTGAAGGAATCTTTGGTGCTTGGGAAGTGGAAGGCTTCCTGGAGGGCTCATCTTTGTAATGTATTTACACGATCAGAAAGAGCCGTCTATACATGTGTCCATTACGGAGACCGTATCTTCCTTCTCATTGCTCCGAATTGAATGATCTCGGATGTTCTGGAAAGAGGACTCAAATGTCTCTGATTCTCATGAAGGCCCCGGTAACTGAATCGGTCTGGAAGTGTACCGTACTTCGCATTCTTCAGAGCTTATCGGTTTGGTCCAAAACAGCAGCGAGACAGGGGTTTTTTCCGATGGGCCTAACTCTCTGCTCACGCGTCCGAATTCCATGATTCCACTCGCTATGAATCCGTGATCCAATCCTCTCCAACTTCTATGAAGCACCGGACGTCTAAATCGGACCGGAAGGTTCCCCGGACAGGCGATTTTGGAAACGTGTCTGCACTCGGAGATTTTGGCCGATACAATACACTCGCGGTAAGCGTTTTGGCCGATTGTCTATCCGCGGTACATGAAAATGGCCGGTAAAAACCTCCCTGGTCCGCGAGAATGGCCGATAACCTTCAAAAACACAAGTTCACCATTTTTCAAGCCTTGATCACCATTCCACCTCCTGGATTCATGTTTTCAGCTCCAAATAGACCTGATAAACACTCAAAACATGCAAAGACTCATTGGGACCTAATGCATCTCCTAAGTTCTAAAACAAAACCCTAAGGATCTAAAATGCATGGAATAAAACAAGATTTGGAATGAATTATGCAGCCTAAATGATGCAAATTATGAACATATCAACTCCCCCACACTTGTCCTTTGCTTGTCCTCAAGCAAACAAGAACAAATGAGAGAAAGAGGTTGAATGCATGGGAGTTCACATTTCCTTTTTGAGAGAAGTGATCACAATGAGAATTCAAGTTCATGCTCAATTATGCAATGCAAAGCCATACTCAGATATATATCAACTCAACAAGGAATCTCCACAAGTTCTTCTCTCTCTCAACTCTTTCACATTCATTAAGCTTTTTACCAAGTGGATCAAATGATGCATTGTTTAAACAAACATAGTTTGGCTAGGGTGAGGTTATGAGACTAAAATGATCTCATCAATGCCTGAGTGGGTTCAATGCAGCAAAAGGATCTCTCTATGAATGACCAAACTTTGGCAGAATGCTAAAGGTAAAAGGCAACCTGTGCATACAAGGGCAAAGACTCATCCCACCCCACACTCTACTCAAAGTTTCCTCACTTGCTTACTTTTCACACTCATTCTTCTCTCACTAGGGGACTCTCTTTTCATTTTCACACTCAAGTCTTGGAGTTCAAACTTTACATAGCTCTTTTTCACTTTCCTTTGTAACTTCTAGCCTCTTTTTTTTTTTCTTTTTAAAACATTTGAGCTCTTTGGCTTCTTTTCTTTTCACTTAGAGGCTAGACTCTTTCTTTTCAAAACACTAGAGCTCACCTCTTTTGACTCAAAACTCCAAGACTGATTTCTTTTCTTTTTCTATCCTCTAGTTCTCACCATTCTCCTTTTATTTCCACTCATCTCTCCTTTTTCCACTCACCAACATGTATTCCCCCACACTTAGTTCTTGCCAAATCTCTCAGCTCCTTGATGATGGAACTTAGCACTCAATGAGACTTGCCCTAAACCTAACACTTTCTGCTAAGTTTGGTCCAAGGTGGCCTCTCAATCACATACAAACAATTGGCTTGAAAGAAGGATGGGTTCAGGGTGAGGAAAACTGATCTATTATGCAGATTCAGCTATTTGAACTAAGGAAGAGGATGGTAAAAACAGGATTCTAGCTCAAATATGTATAGTGGTATCCACAAGCTTGTTCAAACAATGCACCAAATGATAATTTCAAGTCAAGTTCAGGATTTTCACTTAATTAGAGTTGAGTTCAATTCAAACTTGCTTCTCAGATTCAGATCATTTCAGACTTTGCAAGCACAGAAAAAGATTCACAAGCATATTCAATTCAAGTTCTCAACGTGATGTAC